TATCGAATAATGGGTAACTATCATTGTCTGTACCTTATAAGACTAGAAATAATGACTTGTAGCAATGTTCTGATGTTGCTTCATGACTCAGATATCACTGCTGGCATTTTACATCTTTCTTCAAGTTGTTTCACTTTTTCATCTCCACAGCTCCTCCGTGCACAGCTGGACTTGACGTTGCAATCGTTCTCGACAAATCCCAGAGTGTTAAATTAGGTAATCTGGCAAAGGTTATCACCTTCTTGGGTAAACTGGTTGGAAGCTTCCACCCTGCTCCTGACGCAGATCACTTCGGCCTTATTACCTTTAACAAAAACGCACAACTGTCTTTCACACTTGGCAACTCACAATATCACGATAAAGACGCCCTATTACAGAAAATAGCCGAAGAACCAATGGTCCTACAGTATCAAACTCGCACCGATATGGCTCTCCTTATGGCGAGGGACGAGATGTTTACTGAGGCAGGAGGAGACAGACCAGACAAACCAAATATCATGATTGTACTCACAGATGGAAAGCCAACAAATCCAAACAGCAACTTTGACTTCAAGGCATTTGCTAAAGAGATATCGAAAGATTTCAAGGCGAGTATAAAATCGTTATGTCGAGGCTTGATTGATGCGAACATAGGGTTAAGACAAATAACAATGTAAACCTAATGAGTGGAATTTTTCAATTCTTTTGAACTGAAAGCCAGGACATTGACTTCAAGGCTTTTTCTGAAGAAATGAATAAAAATTTCAAGGTAGATATGAAGTAGTTAAAAAAAAGTTTAAACAGCGACAGCTGCTGTTTCAACGAGTCATTTCACTAAGAACTAGAGCCCTAGTTGGGTTCCCTGTGTTGTGTTCGTGGTAATTTGTTGAGATGAATTGGCATTTTATCTTGCCCGCTTTAGGTTGCAACAACCTGGAGAAGTTCTAGCAGTAACTTAATCCTTCTCCAATCAAAAGTGACTCATGTGTCAGAGATTCTCTTCTTACAGGAAAAGAAAGTCAACATTGTAGCAGTGGGCATCGGTCCAGGAGTGGAGGAAGACACTTTGCACGATATCGCTGGCACAGGACCTGTGGTTCAGGTGGAGGCGTTCGATAAGCTTGATGAAATGATGAAAAAAATCAAGGCATCAGCATGTTCGGGTAAGTTATCGTGCATATACTTCAGTCACTCTCACTTTTGAATCCATCCGGCTTTCTCAGAGAGAAAAATGGATCCCCTTCAAGTACGTTATGGTCAAATTTATTATTATTTATATTACTATTACTGCTATTACCATCACTGCTATAATTATCACTATAACTGTTATTATTTTTGTCCTAATAACTCTGGTTATTAGCTCTACTATGCTTAAGAGAAACAAGAACAAAGAGACGTATTCTAAATACTCAAGAGAATAATTTCTATTTAGATTATGTGTCGGCTGGAATGGTATAGTATTGTACATATTTTTATTCATCTCATGGTATAGAGCAATTACGAATTAGAAACTCGTTTCTTTTTTAAATAACATTTCATCTTTTATCATGTTATATTTAACAAAGAAGACACTTTTCTTTTCATAAAATTCCATAATGTCAAACAGTTCTCAATTTTTTTTAATAATGTAGTTCGTAAGTAGGATTGTAGGACTTTAACGTATGTTTTTAAAATTAAAAAAAAATTATCAGTATTTATAATTATTTCCATACAGTGATGCTTACGGAGAAACGTTTCTCACATGCGATTGTCACAAAATCAAGCTTTTGTGTTCATTTTGATTTGTAGGATAAAGAGGCTGGTTTTTCAAGACATGCCGTATATTTGGATTAAACAAATGGGGTTAGACTACGTATGAAGTAGCAAAAATTTACGGAAGTATTGTGTATGCATTACATACCGAAAATAAACTATTTTAAAGAAGGAACCGCTTTCTTTGTCCATTTGCAATGAAATGACCGCGGAGCATCCTTCTCTACTCGCTCTTTCCCAGTTCTTTCTCTCTTACGCTCACTTTTCATTCTCCGTTTTCTTAAAGAAAGCCACTGGGCGAAAGAAATCGTCGTTTTATCATCTAAATTGATTTTGAGAATGAAATTCGTCAGCATAAATGGCAATGAAATATTCAGGGTGGAAAAAATTGAGACACATAAGGCTGGTGACCGAAGATTGTAAATGATGTAATGTTTTAATACAATTCTAAATAGAATTGAACTATTTTAAATAGAATTGAAAGAGAACGGGAAAAAATTACGCTTATAATAAATGGAGATCTTCGTGTATGAAAATTGCATTGGCAAAAATTCTATGTCGATGAAAATCGTAGAAAAGATGTTCATCAGAATTGCTCTTGAGAATTAATGTGTTTCTAGTTGAGAACCAGAAGTCTACTTCCGATAAGTCTCAAACTCAAACTGTTGTTTACTCCAATTACGCGCCAATTGGAACTAAAATCGATTCCCCTGGATTTCCGCCCTCTCTTTCTGCAATTTGACTCCGGCTGCTAATTCGAAGCAGTTTTTTTTTCCCAATCAGGACATTTTCTAGGTCACCTTAACCTTGAAAATTCTAAACGTGCCCGTCAGTATGTGACAAGTGAAAACAAAAAGTACGGTTGTCAAAACATTGAGTTTGTTTTGATGAAGCCATATATTCTTTGTTTTATTTTTTGGGGAATTACGGAAACCGCCATAGAGTCGACTGAGTCAAATCTGCCAGTCAAGTGTACCATCAACTAAACTGCATTGTATCTCAATAAAGCTTAGCTACTGAAATTCTTTTTTAAAATGTTCCATTGTAACTGAATTGTTGATATTGATTACTATGTATGAATAAGAAATAGAGTGTGTGCATCTTTTATCCTTCTTTCTGACCATGTCTTCCCTGGAAGCCCTCCTCAGGTCTTTTATTCTGCTTTAACTCACTAATGCTTGCATCTTAATATTTTCTTAGTTTCAATGCCAATCTTGAACTTTGTTTTCAATTTCATTTTTGAAAAAGCAACCGAGAATGATAATAAAGAATTATGCGTTTCACAGACGTGAATTACTATCATTGTTCATGATATGACAAAATTTCAATAACACGAACTTCCCTCGAGTCACAGCTGTTTTAATTACATTGTATCATCACCCTTATGATAGAGTTAGAGTTAACGGGAATCGACACCATACCTGGTTCGCACAACTCCTGTGTAAGGCAGTGTGAGTTCTGTACCTCTGCGAATACTTAACACCCTTGTAAAGACCATGACATGGATGCGTAACAGTAATTTCCCAAATCTTAATCTCTCTAAGGCTTTTCAACGAAAGAAGTATAAAGATTTAGCAAAGCCTTAAAGCGGAACTAAAGTTAGTTTATTTTCCAACCCTTCAATTTATGAAACTCCTCAGCTCTGGCGGCTAAAGAGTTTATTCAATGAAGTTTACGATAGGTCATTAATCATGTAGAAGGGAACTGGAAACAAAATATTTTTAGCCGTAAAAAAGCGGGCTTTCCTTTCTTTTTTTAACAATTTATGAATTCAGCAGAAAATTAAACTGTTGTGTTTTTCAAACGCGAAACGACTCCACTTTAAGAAAAGACGTGTAATATACAATGACTAAACTGTAACTGACAAGAAAATTACAACACGCTATTTTGAACGAAAACAAATATTAATAGATTCCTGATAGTTCTGGGTTACGTAACTCCTTTATGATTTAAAACACGAAAATGCCCTGGTAATGGCTGTTACCTTGGTAACGGCTGTTACTCTGGTAATGGCTGTTACCTTGGTAGTGGCTGTTACCTTGGTGATGGCTGTTATCTTGGTGATGGCTGTTATCTTGGTGATGGCTGTTATGTTGGTAATGGCTGTTACCTTAGTGATAGCTGTTATCTTGGTGATGGCTGTTATGTTTGTAATGGCTGTTATGTTGGTGATGGCTGTTATGTTGGTAATGGCTGTTCTCTTGGTAATGGCTGTTATGTTGGTAATGGCTATTATGTTGGTAATGGCTGTTATGTTGGTGATGGCTGTTATGTTGGTGATGGCTGTTATGTTGGTGATTGTTGTTATGTTGGTAATAGTTGTTAAGTTGGTGATGGCTGTTATGTTGGTGATGGCTGTTATATTGGTGATGGCTGTTATGTTGGTGATGGCTGTTATGTTGGTGATGGCTGTTATGTTGGTGATGGCTGTTATGTTGGTGATGGCTGTTATGTTGGTGATGGCTGTTATGTTGGTGATGGCTGTTATGTTGGTGATGGCTGTTATGTTGGTGATGGCTGTTATGTTGGTGATGGCTGTTATGTTGGTGATGGCTGTTATGTTGGTGATGGCTTTTATGTTGGTGATGGCTGTTACGTTGGTGATGGCTGTTATGTTGGTGATGGCTGTTATGTTGGTGATGGCTGTTATGTTGGTGATGGCTGTTATGTTGGTGATGGCTGTTATGTTGGTGATGGCTGTTATGTTGGTGATGGCTGTTATGTTGGTGATGGCTGTTATGTCGGTGATGGCTGTTATGTCGGTAATGGCTATTATGTTGGTGATGGCTGTTATGTTGGTGATGGCTGTTATGTTGGTGATGGCTGTTATGTTGGTGATGGCTGTTATGTTGGTGATGGCTGTTATGTTGGTGATGGCTGTTATGTTGGTGATGGCTGTTATGTTGGTGATGGCTGCTCTCTTGGTAATGGCTGTTATGTTGGTAATGGCTATTATGTTGGTAATGGCTGTTATGTTGGTGATGGCTGCTATGTGGTAATGGCTGTTATGTTGGTGATGGCTGTTATGTTGGTGATGGCTGTTATGTTGGTGATGGCTGCTCTCTTGGTAATGGCTGTTATGTTGGTTAATAGATAATTACTGAGGTTCGCAGCATTATACCCTATAATGCTGCGAACCGAAGTAATTAACTATTATAATTATTGACCCTCATAAAATCCTATTGTTCTCTCTCTGCATTTCATCGACGATTTCAGTCGCCCCTTCATATTGATGTTTTGGTACACCAACAATGCAACTGGCAAGCATTGTCCAGTAATAATACAAATTGCATAATCCTTTTTCATTCCCCAATTCAGCCATTGTTAACTACTTGCAAAGATGATATAATCATTGACTCTCATGAAATCCTACTATTTTCTCTCTCCAACAATGCAATTAGCACGTATTGTCTAGTAGTTATACAAATTACATAACCCTTTTCATTTCCCGGAATTTAGTCATTGTTAAATCCTTGTAAAGATTATGTAACTTTCCACATCTTTCAGGTGTGTGATTGAATTTCATGCAAACGTAATTTGCATTGTATATTAACGCAATGCACTTGGTTATTTGAGTTGTTTGTTGGAAGGCAAAGAGTTGCTACTGTTTTGAAGCTTGATGGAGGATTCTTCGGAAGACGAATCTGCCATTTTCATAACGCAGAGCCAGAGGTCGGAAAATGTCGCTGCCGTTGCCCTTCGACGAAGTTGCGCCACACGATTGTACGAAGGTGGTGTGCCAGAACAAGTTATTGTAGAAACCACTGGTCACCGATCATGTGATGGGGTTAGGGAGTATAAGTGTACCTCATCAACACTTAAAAGGAAAGCAAGTGAAATCTTGCAGGGAGCGACTCCTAAGAGGGTAGAAATAGACGTCAAGGAAAAAAATGAAAAACTGTTTAACAATGATGTTGAGCAAAAATATGATGGACAAAAGGAAGAAACAGGGTTACAGGGGTTAAGCGAAAAGGTTTTAGACGAAAACCAGAGCGAAGATTATAATCAGTCAGTTGTAATTAGTACTCACAGTACGAAAATTGTTATTTCTTACAAGTGAGAAAGACTGTCATTGTCAGATGTGCCCTAAATAAACTGTAAAATGTTTTCGTCTGTACGTCTCCTGGAATGGTACTTCTCATGGTGTATTCATTTACTTTTTAACTTCAGATCTTCATCATAAATTATGCGCGGACATTCGCGAATTTTCAAAAATTACTGAGTGGAAAAGTAACGAAGTAAAAACCACAGTCATGCAGCAATATTAAAAATATTGCTGGAAGCAGGCTGCATTATTAAAAATATTGCAGTGCAGCCAGCCCACTGCAATATTGAACGTTTTAGCGCGTTTAGGATTACCCCTGATAATTTCCCTACTACCAAAAAGGACCGCCACCGTTTTCCTCAGACA